ATATATATATATATATATATATATATATATAAAATAAATGTGAATTTGTGCTGTTGTAAATAAATGATCTAGATAAAACATTGGAGAGAAGAGACAGAAACTCCTCTGCAGGAAAATTCTAAATAAATTAAAATGTTGCTTCTTTTGAAAATGTTATGTAACCTTATATAAATAGAATTTTTTAAAAACATTTTAAGGTGTCATGAGTTTTATTTCCCTCATCTATGTCATTCCGTGTAGCTGTACGTGGTCCTGTTGTCTGCTGTAAGGTGTTCAATGGTATAAATGTTTGTATTGCTGATGGGCACTTGTGTTGTTTACACTTTTGGCCTCTTATAGTGTTGCTCAGAACATGCTTGGACATGTATGCTGCAGCTTATGTGTCCCCTTATCTATGAATGGATTTTCCTTGTCATAGAATACAGGCAGCCCACTGTAACCTCTGGGTTCAGCATCAGTGAAATCTGCCAAATGTGGGAAGAAATTATTCAGAAGAAAAAAACAATAAAAATAAATAAAATACATTACAGTAAGCAATTATTCACATAGCTTTTTCATCATAATGTAAGTAATCTAGAGATGAATTAAAGTATATGGGAAGGTATGTATAAGGTACGTGCACATACCAAGCCATCTTATACATGGACTTGAAAGTCCTCAGAATCCTCAGGGGTCACTAAGGACCGAATCCCCTCCACCTGCAGGCTATCAAGGGACAGCTGTATATGAATTCAAACTTTATTATGCCTGATTGTTTTTCAACCAATTTACACAAAATAACTGTGTATGACGGTGCTCAGTGCTCTTCACTTTTGCAAACCTTTGGTGAATATCAGACTTTTTTAGTTTTTAGCCAGTTAGGTGAGGGCATTAAGATTTGTGTTACTTATGATTGCATCCCCACACAACAGCCTGGGTAACACAGTGAGACTTAAAACTTGAAAAAAAATTTTTTTTTTCATTTTCCTAATTACAAATAAGAGTAATTTTTTCATGTTTTATTGGCCATTTGGATATTCTCATGAAATGCCTATTATGTATTTGGTCCATTTTTCTATTGGTTGGTATTCTCTGCACTAGCTCTTTATATATAATGGATATCAGCTCTTTACTGGATATGAGTAATACAATATTGGTTCACACTCCTTGGTTTGTCATTTCTTTCTATTTTTCATATCTTTTGATGAACAGAAATCCCTTTATTTCTGACAGTAAAATATTATTTAAAATAGCTAACATATATGGTGATTATAAAATGGCAAACACTGTTCAATTTACTCCTCATAGAATAACTTATTTAATTCTATGACCTATAAGAAAACCCATACCTTTGATTTTTCAGATGACAGAACTGAGTCATGGAGGCATTAAGTCACTTGTTCAAGGTGGTAGAGCTAGCACTGTTAGAATCTAATACCGTTAGAGTCAAATATTTGACAATCTCCAAAATGATTCCTTAAAACAAAACAAAAATGACTTCTTCCTTATAAAACTGTGATATCTGAGTTGATATCAACAGTACATCTAAGCACAGTATACTGAGACCAGATACAAATGCATGTACAGTTGGCCCTGGGACAATGAGGGGGTTCCGGATGCTGAAACCCTGTGCACTTAGAATGCCTTAAATACTTTTGACTCCCCCCAAAACTGAACTGCTAATTGCCTATCATTGACTGGAAGTCTTACAGATATCATAAACAGTTGATTAACACAGATTTTATATGTTACATGTATACTGTATTCTTACAGTAAAGAAAGCTAGAGAAGAGAAAATGTTTTTAAGAAAATTATAAGGAGAAAATGTAACCATTTACAAGATGAATAGCCTATCTGAAATGACTGGCAACCTCTCTGCAGACCTCAATGTACACTACACATCAGGCAATTCAACTTTCCTCTGCCTCTTGGGAACATTTCCAGCATCACTAGTGGCACTTCGTATAGGCCCATAGTATTATTCAACCTTTAGGATGTTGCCCTGTTGGGTCCTGCTATTTGGCTGAGTGCCAGGCTGGGCCTACCAAAACATCCTCAAAGCATAACTGCGATCCAGTGGTCCCACACAGCCAGATAGCCAGAACCTCATGAGCATACGCTGAGCTCAGCCACCACCACAAAATGTAACCAGCCCATAAAATATTAATGAGTGTTGCCTGAAATGTTCTCAAATAACTGGGAAGAAAAATGCATGGAGAATAACCTCCTCCCACAACGTTTCATAATTACAGTATTAGAAAGAAAGTCAGATTTTACATTTTGGTGACCTTTAATATATTTGTGAACAAATACTGGTGACATCACACTTTAAATATCTTAATGAATTAGAAATACAACGATTTTTTTTCTGACTCTATTGACCTAATTGGTCATAAAAGGCTAGTTTTGCAACAAGCGGAGAGCTGAGGGAGGGAGAGATAAGGGAAGAAGATTGAAGGGGACCTACACTCCAAATTCTTCAGAAGTGCAGCAGCCTCCATAATTGGTCCAAAGTTTGGGACACTGGGATACTTGAGCTCCCAGCAAACCCAAAAAGACCTCGTTCTCAGAAATACTCATGTCCGGTGGATGAACTCTCAGCTGGTGACACAGAATTAGAAGCGTTCAAAGGTATTACAAGATCTGAGAGGATGAAGAATGTACGGTGAATTTGGTAACCACCATGGACTCAGCAGTGCCCAGGGTCCTTACCACAGGTGCTGACAGGGAGGCACCAGGAGGCACTGTAATTGTAGTGGCCTGAAAATTTGCCCAAATTCTGAGTTGTAAATGTGACCAATCTCAAGAAGCCCCCACAGAGCAAAGAAGTGGAATATAAAGGCTGACCACAGGCACGGGGTGGGGGCCCAGTAGCACCCAGAATCCTTAGCAGGATGCTGGATCCTGGACTGTTCGTCAAAGCTGCATCTGTGGGTAGGGGATTAGGCTCAGGGCCTGGAGGTGTGCTGTCTGTAACCACCAAGAGGCACCTCCTGGCTAGATGGAGCCTGAAGGATTGGCTTCTGAGCCCCCAGTTACAAAGGCTAAGGACCACAACCACATCTGCCAGCTGAAAGGTTCAGACCCAGGTTGACAAAGCCAGGGTGGGCAGTGGGTCCAAGCTAAGGTCCTGGGCTGGGAAGGTACCTGTTGCCTCACATTTGTGTGCCAGGTGTTCCCATGGCCAATCACAGCAGGCTAGATTGGCCACGGGAACACCAGGCACACAAATGTGAGACAACAGGTACCACAGCTGGAGACCATAGGCTGAGTGGGTCATGGCCCTGTTGACATGGGTGGTGCCTCAGTCCAGAGAGCCTTCTCAGGCACTTGGGTCTTCCACCAGGTGGGCACCTCCAGGCTGGCCTGTGCCCTGGACTCCATGGGGTCTGCAACTAATCCCTCATGCCTGGGTTTCCACAGCTCATGGTACCTGGGTTATAGGATGCCCATGACAGCGTCCAGGGAAAAGGTCACAATGTCTTCCTCTATAATGCACTGAGAGGCCCCTTTGCTTATCTCATGGTGGCAAAATTCATGGCCTCCTTGAAATTGAAACCATGGTTGAAGTCCACATGATAGCCATAGGGAAACCATTTAGATATTTCACCCCCTCCTTGAGTTTTTTCTGCATTCAACCTTATCAACTCCAACAAAATAAATTTTCCCTCTTACCTTCCATCAATTATAGCTCTAAAAGTCATTGCAGTGGTTACCAGCACTAATTTCATAAAATTATTGACTGAAATGTCTCAAATATCTCACATTAAGGAAAATGCTGACTTGGG